AATTTTGTTTATTATAGTGTCATATATCACAATTACATCGTACAAGTATATAGTTACACAGTATAAACACATATAGTTACATAATTTATAATATCATAATTTTGTTAAGAACAGCTATTATACATAATACATTAATAAATTAAAACAAACTATCACATGTGCCAATCCAGAGAGCAGGTGATTGGGACAGCCCCTACCTAACAAACTCCTGGATTTTGTCCTTACATATTACATACTATAATAGTTAAAAGGTTTCTTTTATATTTACTGCCTTAAAACATGATGTCTTTAAAAAAACAATAACAATGGTGATAAATAAAATGAATAATTTTCTAGTCCTACATTGTAGTGAAATTTAGATTTCCAAGGGTTGGGGAGCCCCCTTCCAGTGAGGTCTTCTAAATTCACACTAACTAGTTGCTAATTATATTTAAACGGAAGATTATTTTCATAAAAAAATGTTTCTGATTGACACCTGGTATCATATTTAACAAATGCATTAAATAGAAAATGTAATTGTATATGATGTTCAGCCTAAAATGGCTTACAAGACACTGGTTAAAATTATAACTAATCACATAGACTACTACGTCTTCTGTACATATTATATAAGTGGTTTGCAAGTGGAATTTGTAATTCCTCGGAAGACATTATAAAATTAAATTATAATATATATATTTACCTGTAACTGTGATTTAGATCACGGACTTAGATGTTAAATAAAATTGCAACATCACGGTATCTACCATGTATCTATAGAGATCACATTTACTTGAGATGGCCAACGAGTTGAATAAAGTATATGTGTATACAGTATCTCTGGGAGTCGAATCAAGTTTTCATGTCATTTAGTATTTTGCTTTCGGATGATCAAAGACGTATATATTACGTAATGTAATATATACGTCTCTGGATTGATGTATAAGAAGCGTAACGTAATTCCTTTTATTAATCTATTTAATTTTTACATTACTTAATGACAACCTACTCGTCTACCCTTCATAAGATTGGTCAGGGAACTATATATGGAAAAAATATCTAGCTTGTCCAAAACAGACTATCTGAGAGTTAATCAAGTAATTGAAAGGACTTCGAATCATATACAATCCATATACTTTTTGAATTTCGTAGTATTTGAGTATCTAATTTAACTGAAGGTTCTTCTCCAGCATTGTTATATAATTGATACTGTTATGTTTAACAAAATTGAATAACTAACATTTATGAAAAGTAATTTAAAATTGTCTAAATATTTCCTGCTAAATTTATATATGTGATCTTAATAACACCATTTTATGACATGAATAGAATTAATATAGTATCATGTAATTGCAATTCTTTTATCAAATATATCTTATACCCGATAATGATACTTAAATGTATCTAATTAAATATATATATTCATCAATGTATATGTAATAATTAATAGTTTTCTGCCCGATCCTGCCCGTTCCTGTAAATCGTCGAACCCCTAGGCACGGCATTTCGGTGATGTTTTCTGCACCAAATCGCATATGTCCAGATAGGATGTGACATATAGAAGTTAATAACTTCAAGAAATGCGATATTTCACAGTAATAAAGTATTGGGTTCATAACTGGATCGTATGGGGTAGTATTGGGGGGTATGGGGTAGTATTGGGTCATAGTCACGGCATTTCGGTGATGTTTTCGGCACCAAATCGCATATTTCCCGATAAAATATGGCAGATGGAAGTAAATAACGTCTACAAAGGTGATATTTCACAGTAATAAAGAAGTATTTGGTTCATAACTGGTTTGTATGGGGTAGTATTGGGTAGGATTGGGTGGTATTGGGTAGTATTGGGTAATTAGACGCGCCGATGACATCAGAAGCAATTTTGGGTTCAAAACAACTATCGCGGGAATATGTGGGTTTTCCTTACCGGAAACTACGTCTAACAACAAACAAGTTGTAAGCAAATGCCATAGGAGATAAAAATGGCCATGGTGGGGAGTAAGGTTTTGGACTTAATTCGGTTTGTTTTGCATAAAATTTGCAAGCCAGAGGTAAACAAATACCACGGAGAAAAGGCATTACGGCAGCTATTGTAACTTGACATTCCTGATGAAACCGATGATTGATACAAAAGATCCAAATAATGGTGGATGCGGGAATCTTCTGGAAGTGCCAGTTTCAGCATTAGAAAGAAACCATGTAGGCACAGTAGATATGGGGGAGCATGTTGAAAAAAATGATAACTTTCTTGGACCCCATAACTGGCGAGAAAAGCTGAAACCTGTGCAATCACCAATTCGCAAGGACGGCCCTTCTGATACTGATGAAGGCGAGAAAACCCCAAGTTCTAGGTAAGCGACTGCTTTTGAGTGTGAAAAGTTTTTTGCATAGTTAGCAATGTCAAATGTCATTGACATGCTACTGGATCCATTTCTTAATTAATAACTTATCAAAAAAAGCAGTTGATCGAATTTGAATAATTTGAAAGGTTTTTTTTCAAACAAATTTCGAAATGCATTGACATTAAAGAATAAAAATGATATAATCATTATCACAGCAATCAGAATATTTCCTTATAATTTTATATAAATCGTCATTCTAGCGATGTAAAAAATTGGTAAGATTATATAACTAGCAGACCTAAGTTGGTGTGTAGGCCTATTATGTATTATATATGCTAATGAAGATGCATGCATATGGATAATACATATATTTAAACCTAGCCAAGGTTTTATATGTTAAAATGATTAATCCAGGTTAGAGTAATACATGGGTTATTTCTTAGTTGAGTATATGAAAACAGCAGAAAAGTTGTTTATTATTATGAATGCATTTATATTACTTTAAATCTTCAAATCAAACAATTTCAAACCAGACCAAGAATGCTTTCTGAAGTATTCTAAAACAATATACATATTACAACATTTGTATGCACATGTACACTTGTAAGTGTCTTAATGTGTTGTGAGTGAACAAAAATGCTAGTTTTACAATGAACATTTCAATTTATCAATTATTTTGTAATATAAATTTATGTAACTTGATAGATTATGATTAAGTAACATACCATTTATTGATATCATATTTTAACCTTATTAGTATAAAGCATTCAATTACTGTAATGCATACATACACCTGATGTTACAGGTGATGACAAAATAGCTTTTCTGGAAATGTCTAAGGCTGTCTCATAGTTGGTAATATAATGACAAATTAGCATTAAAAACTCATAGCTAGATATATTGTGCACATGTCATTGATATGGTATATATTATCTAGTCTACATATTCTGCCTGTTGCATTTAAGTGATATTTTTGTAATTGTCAATTCTTTTAAGGAAAAATAAATGTACTTACAAAGTTATATATATATACATTATACATGTATATGCGTTAGATGTAAGTTGGAAATGTGCCTTGTGCATTTAGGCCAAATAAAAATATATATATGTTTCGGCTCCAAAGAAAATAGGGTAGGTAGGAAAAACATTTCATTTCATTTATTCATATTATTATTATTTCTTGTGAAGAAAATTTCCTGATTACCTCTGTGAATGTTAAAAATATGTTATTGTATTATAAAGTATGAAAGGCACCATATATAATTTTTGATTCATGTAAAATAAATACACAAATGTATTCACAGTTTTTGTGTTGGGCAGGCTCAAATAACATCTAAATGTTTATGGAATAACCAACCGTAATTTACAGTAGTGCTACCACCAGTGTTACATTTCTAGATTATCCCTACAGCTGGACATTAGTTTTTAGTAATCTAAACTCCACTGATGGTCACCAGTATTATGTTCTCTTTTGTATTACTGATGCTTTCTGTTTTCAATTTCAACTGCCTCCAGTTCAAATTAATTGAATAACAAAATAAGTATATTTACAACACAAGTTTTTTAATCTGTCAAAAACTATACAAGTCTTTACTATTGTGAACTCAATCTCTCCACTTCAAACTTAATTATCTCCGACTATAAACTGTAAAACTGCACAGATCTACAAACTACAGCTAAAACTACTATTATTACTCACTTTAACTCATTTTTTCTAACTATCCTCTATATCTCTTGACCTCTCAACCAGGTCTCCCTAACTCAACCTCCTTCTTCAAGACTCTTTAACTCAATTCCCCAACCCAACTCTCTTCTCCTTCGACTCCCAAGCTGAACTACCTTACTATCTGTCTCTTAGCAAAATCCTGCTACAATAAAAATGTTGATTCGATAAAATTGTTGATGCTGCTGAAATCCTGTTAAATACTGGCCATAAATCCTGCTAAATTTTACTCTGGTGGTCAATGTGAAAGTAAAATTTCAAGTACAACTGTCTGAAAATTAACAATTAAGTTCATATCTTTAAAAAATATTTACGAAAACATCCTTTGTTCCCTAATAGCAGCGTCCTAATAAAAGCTCTACAGAGCTTATGATTGTTGTTGAAAATCTACATGACATTAAATAAAGATTAATTAATTTTCATATTTATTTATTTATAGAAGGAGGCCCCCTCCCCCTCAATTATCTAAATAATTCTCTCCACTGTAACCAGTTTGCGAGAATAAAAAGTTGTCATTGTCATTAGATTATATTTTGATATGTGATAACAGTGCATTCTGTGGCAAAACTAGCTTTTTCAAATGTTGGGTTCCAAGCAAATTATTCTTTTGGTTACACATGTATAGCAATATGATACTGTACAAATCTGTCCCAAAAAAAGTTTTCCTCTTGGTGTTGCAGTTTTCTCACCAATTTGATACAAAAAGTGGATAAATGTGACTGCTTCACTGACAATGTTACAAAATTGATCAATCAAAGCTATCAAAATCTTTTATTTTTTTCAATGTGTAAGTTGTTTCCTTTTTAGAATAGATTAAAAATTTAATATTTCACAACATCTTTTGTGTTGTATCAATGATCATAATGCTATATGTTACATTATAAAGGGGTTATATAGACCTGTATCTTTCCCTTGACGCTGTATTTCTTCATATGAAACACTTATGTTTAGTTTTATTCGTTTGACCTTTAGTACAACTGAATACCCCTAAATGGTCAAATAGACAATAATGATGGTGCAGTAAAATATTTATTTTAATTTGTTTGACTTCCTGCATTGATATACAAATATGGACTAAAATTTTAAAAAGTGCTTTCAGTAACATCAAATAGTCCATATACAGAGTAGAGCGTTGTATAATTTGGTCCTGAGACAGATACATGATGGATGCGCACAATAATGAAGCATATAGAAAATGAAACGTTGATTATAATCACCTGTATTTCATATTTATCTGATTGACAAGAGCACAACCCTTCACACCTAAAACATAATCAACATAATAAAATATAATCAAAACTTATTTCATGCCACATTGTGTGTCTGTGAATAATTCTGATAAATATTTCTTCAAATTAATGGATAATAAATAATTCATTTGTTCTGTGTACATGTGTCTGTGCTGGTTGATTAAACATTGATATTATGTTATATAAGTCATGTAACGGTACATCCTAGTTTAAACTTGAGTTGGGGACTCCCGGTTAATCTTCATAATGACACAAGTATATATACAATACATATGTAATATTGCTCAAATATGTATTTGTATCACGCAACATTTCGCAGCTATAATTTTCAATAAATTGTAATTTATCAAAGGAAACCGAATGTTCACTGTTAGAAAATTTCAATTTTACAATTTGATTATATAATCACGACCTGGGCACCGATCCTTGATTTATTACTTAATTGATATGTTACCTGTACATGTGCCAAAACAAAAAGATTCGACCAGGTGGTCTATCAAGCTATTAATCCGTAATTGCAGTTTCAATCCATCCTCCACATGTTGATACATTAATTAAATACTTTGAATTTCCAGAAAAATATCTACTGCTGTGTGGCCTTTACACACATGTCTCTGCTTTGTGTTTAGGTGCAAATTAAACTTGATAATTGGTTATTTATATGTAAGTAAATATATAAGAAAGACATATAATATGAACCATTATTCATCTCCAGATTTGAAAATATATCGTAAAAGGCTGTCGTTGTTTCGTAACAACAACTTGAAAGTTTGCTGTGGTTTTTGCTGATGACACTCGAATAGTTCGAACTTTTGGTCTGACCAGAGGTTTACTGTATATCTGTAAATGTACTAGCTATAGTTATATAATTACAGAAGTGACAACTACACAACAATTACATAGCACATTGCTGTTTGTGGGGCCACATGGCTCATGCTCTAGAAATGTATTATGCAACTGCGATCTGTCTGTGGAGAACTTGGTCATGACAGTTGTAGTGTTCTGTACATGTCAAAAATGTTGTGCTGCGTTTGCGGTACTTCTACAAGAGACTGTTCAGTATATATGTTTGATAAGTTGATAACTATACAATATACATACATACATGTACAAGGTATATATATATATATATATATACTACATCAGACATTTGTTTTTCATTTAGTAGTAGTTATACATATGTACCCCAACAAAAGATCAAGACTGATCATGATCAGGCCAAAAAAAAATTATGTTTGGTTCAAGTAACATGCCTGAAAAAAGGGTAGGTCGGTAGGCAAATAATTTTATTCTAATGTTAATTTTTTATTTTGTGAATTTATATGAAGCTTTATTTCAAATTTTTCAATGCATTTCCATACCTCACAATTACTATTGATTTGTCAAGAAGAAGGTCAGACTCCTAGAACAGGAAGAAATTACTTTTCAATGAGAGGGTGTGAACTTTGCCTGGCTAATAAATTAATCTTAGATACAAGTAGGTGATAAAATATCTAGGGATGGCAGTAAAATCTAGGGAAGGTCGGGATACCTGAAACACACATTTTTTTGGGCCTCAGCACTTGTATTAAAACTTTCAGTACCTGTACCCATGTGCTTCAAAAATATAAACATAGTACTCCAACAAGAGACTAATCTGTACAGGCTATTGGTGTAGTAGTTATTCATTGAAAACATTGGTGATGAACAATGCTTAAATCGCAACTCTCTTTATTGGGTACATGGCTTTTTTTTTTTTAAATATTCCAAGAAAAAAAAATCTGTTCTGTAATAGCTGTAGTGTGTTTATTTTCCTTTGTAAATGATATTTTAGCAGATATGGACTAATAAAGATTTTGTTTCTGTCCAGTTTTCAAACAACCAACTTGAAGTGACTTCAAACCTCAATATTTTTAGCTGTATCTATGCTGAAACACCAACTGCTATTTGAAAATAAATCTCTGATTATATCAGTATTTAATGAGATAAATACAGTGGTCACTTGAACATGCCCATGATCGTGTCATTTTCAGTTATTCAGGTGTGAATGCAGCAATGGAACAGGCAATTTCTATCAGATTATACTCTTGATGTTTGGAAATATTTTTTAACTTCCCCACACCAACCACCTGTTCTAAAATTTAAAGTGTAACTAAGATCATATAAAGTCCCCAGAAATTTTGATATTCTGAAAGGTAACGATGGTCAAATATGTGTGTTTGTTAATAGGGTAATCCGTGATGGCAGGAAGGTGAAGGACATACTGGAAGGCGTTCGAGGACAAGACATACCAAAGCGTGTCCCTTCCTGGAAGCGCTGTCTAATTGAAAAGAAGAAGGGAAAGGCGGCTAAGGTAATGAACCGATCACTGGTGTTGTTTAAGTACCATGATAAACTTTCACAGATATTTATTTCATGCTATACAAAGTTACTCTTCTGTTAATGGGCGGATTGGTTGAGTGGTTAACACTCCGGCCTTCCACACAGGCGGCCGGGGTTCGATCCCGCAGTGTTGGTACGCATGGAATATTTAGAGAAAGTGTTTTCCTCCTGCCCACACAACTCCAACAACCCCGGTGGAGTATAAAATGGTCTGGGGTGGATGTTGCAGTATCTGTGCTGTAGCATTCAAATGAGATGGCACTATAAATGATACCATTGGAAGCACAGTCCCACTACAAACAGAACAAAATACATCTCCAGCATACCCACATAGCAAGGGAGATGATAGCCAGGTGGCATAGGACTAGTAGTTAGCGCCTGATAAGGCAGCTCCCATGAACTCTTCAAAATTGTATTGATTAATGTACGTATATGCTAATTGTATTGATTGTATATCTATGTACTGTAAAGTGCTTTAGAGTGGCTTATTCTATCTAGATAGGGCACTATATCAAATGTTGTACATGTATTGATATATATATAATCATTTAAGCAACAAGCTCTTATATTAAGAGACAGAGAGAAAGACAGAGTCAGAGAAATTGCAACAGAAGCTATTTTCAAATGCACCTTGAGATCTAGAAGCATTAACATGCTATAAATAACATTTCATTCATATTTGTTGTTGCAGACAATTCACAAAAAAAACATCACTTATTTGTGTTTTGTATGTAACCCTTTATGTTTATTGTAATTTCTACTAAACAAAATATGTGAGAGGGCAGGATCCTTCTCAGTAATTTCAGATTTACAACCAGATGCACTAAGGAAAATGCTGCAGTGATTATGAACAGATTGTTGTTATTATGGGTTTGTAAACGTTTAATGGGAAAGTGTACAGATACCTGATCTAAGTGATATTCAGTGAAGTATAGGGTTTTAAAAGGTGAAGCGTGGAACCGGATGTCAATTCAAGGTAGACGCAGATACCAGTGATAACTAGGGTAACGGCTATCTTGATTTCAAGGACTACTGTACACGTGGTTAGAAAAATGTTATTAAATGACTCATAGGTAAGATTTCGCAATGACTTCAATACAAAAATTATAAGGTTCTTGTTGAAAGAGACCATCATGAAGCATAAGGTAAACGGATCTCTAATATGTTCATTTTGCGACATTGACTATTATGCACCTATACTATTCAAGTAACTAGATCTGTTACGTTTCTATTTCAACATCTCCGTAACACAGAAATGAATGTCTCAAGGATGGCATTGCTTTTGATACAGAGAGGTTTCCCAAGGAGTGATGGTTTGTCACGTTTATCTAGCTCAAGTAAGTTAATTTTTAAATTGTATAAAGACACAAGGGTTTACCGAGTGCCTTTTACAAATTGAAAATTAACTCATGACAGTTGGATTAAATATGATAACCAGTCATCAACAGTTTGGGGACTTTTTTTTCTATCACAGTGTTTATATTTTATCTGGAAAACCACGTTTCCTATGGAAATACATTATGCCTGTTTCCGATAGGGAAATAATTGCCATGGTCATAACATCACAAAGGAAGATGGTGTCGCAAAACGTTGTTACATAATGAAACGATTAAAACTTCTAGCAGGTTCATGCAATGTGTCGTGAGTGAGGAAACCTATAGTGGTTGTAGGAGAAATTATTTTATTAAACCTGAGAGTCTATTTTGGTGGTATTCTATTTACTGGTAGGTCAGGAGTATTAGCTGATTGCTGTGTCCAGGCCCCTTCTGTGTTTGTGTACTGTGTACCCAGATATCTACTGATAAAAGTACTGATTGTTACGGGGGATAAAGGTACACACGGTCACCACAGGGAAGTATTTGTGATCAGATTTCCTATATCCTAGCCCAATGCACCACATTGTAAGTACCATGCATTGTGTTACATAATGTTGAGTATGTACATGTTTTGTACAGTTGTAAACAAGAGCAATTGAACCCTACATCAGAAGATCTAGACAGCCGAGAATCAACAGAAATATCTGATCTGCTCAATGTCAGATCTGACAAACAAGGACCTACAGGGTACAAAGGAACTGCAGTGAAGCTGTATTTATTTTCTTGTACAATATATATGCTTATATAGATAATGTGCTTCTGACATCTCAAATTTCTCCCATATTAAAAATAATATATCTTCTTATTCTGATTAAATAGAAGACGGTCAATGCCACTGTCCTCATGTATATCACACACAGGCTAGGGCTAGGCCTGCCAGATAGGAAACACATGCTAGAGATCAAAATGCTTGAACAAATTTGAAACCAAACAGCATTTGTATGTACAATAAACACCTTTGTGAACTGGCAATTAAATTGTAAAAGCTTTAAAGTTCTAAATTTACATTTATGTCAATTCAAATTTTAGTGTTTGTAGGGTGATCTACATATCTGATTGATTGGTCTGTCATTACTTGTGTACATTGTACATATTATTTGCATCATGGCGACACTAATTTCATTATTATATTGAGCATAACAATTCTGACAAATCTGATGATTTCTTTTTCTTATGTAATTGCTCTGCATGTACCTGGTACATGTATGTTTAAATAGGTACAAATGCACATAATGTGTTGACTGAACCATGTACTGTTATTGCCCTGTAAATCATCAATTTCGTAAGCCTTATATACTCATACGTATACATTAATAATATATTAAAACTTTTCGTGAATTAAAAAATATTGCTTAAATTGTTGTGTGCATCTATCAGTGCATGTTCCTGGCTGTGGTATTTTGTTTCCGGGCCATAATTCCATTGTATTACCAAACTTCATATAGACTTAACAGTTTGTTGCAACCTAAAACAAGGTCAATGTGACCTCGATTAGACCTTTGACCTTGACCTAAAGTACTAAAATATTGGTGTCCTGAGCATATCTTAGCTGCTGTTTCATGGATGGGCATCAAACTTTGTATTTAAGTCGCATGAAGGCAATGTGTTGCACCTTAGAATAGGGTCACTGTGACCTCATTTTCACCTTTGACCTTGACAGCAAGTATGAAAATATGGCATATCATAGGTTTCTGCAGCATGTAACTCAGTCATTAATGGGCTTCAAACTTTGTAGATATCAGGGAATGGGGGTATCAGTGAAGCCCTAACTTTGTAGATATCAGGGAATGGGGGTATCAGTGAAGCCCTAACTTTGTAGATATCAGGGAGTGGGGGTGTCAGTGAAGCCCTAACTTTGTAGATATCAGGGAGTGGGGGTATCAGTGAAGCCCTAACTTTCAATTAAATCTAGTTTCACTTAAAATCAAAGGAAATTTGTTTCATCACTTTTCATACAGGGACAACTTACGGTAAACCTCCGGTCAGTTCGAATCGGCGGATAGTTCGAACACATATTTTTTTCAATAAAAACAATAATTTTCTAGCTAGTGATAGTTCAAACTCTGATTGACCCTATTTCGGATAGTCCTTCATAGGCTGCTACACCTAGAGGTGAGGTTTGTAGCATATCATAACTCAGTCACAGTGACCGATAATTTCTGGAACAAATTTCTTTTATTCTAAATTTAGGTCATTGTGACCAAGTTATGGTATGCAACAAACCCCCACCCCTATTTGTAAAAAACTCATTAAATTTGGTGAATCTCCATTAACAGACTTGCCAACTGTTTACAATTTCCACGGGGGAGATTCTGCATGCTCAATATTAAAACATAGATAAAATGTTTATATACTCCCTAGAGACAAAGTAACCATTTAAAATTATATATCTTGAGTTGTTCTTTCAGATGAGATCATAAAAGGACTCTCTGGCTGAAACTACTAAATTTAAGGGTCCAAAATCGGGAGTCTCCCTCATTCATAGGGAGAGTTGGCAATTGATAGTATGCATAAAGAAAATAAGGAAAGGATGGCCAAGGAAACAAATCTTATTTTCATTTAGGAGTAGGGCCATAATTTCATTGTATTTCCATGAAGGTTCACAAAACTTCATGCAGTGTTAGACTGTGTTAGATCTATGAATGAAAGCATATTTCAAATCATAAGTGGGTCAAGGTGACCTCTATCTTCTACTCCACTTACAGGAAAGGAAACGACTTCATTGCACTTCCACTTGACAATAAAGGAAATGTTTCTGGGGCATTACTTCGTTTTTCATATCATTTATCATCTGAGGAGATTAAAAATGCCAACTTTTTTCTACACAATGTAACACATGCTGTAAATAGAAAAGTTATCCACACTGAGATACTTTTACACCCCTTTTAAGCTGTAACTCTATAGTATTCATAGAGCCTGTCAACAAATCATGAAATGTTGCTACTCTTTGCAGTTCTGTATAGTATGCTGACACATTTCTCTGGACCCAGGTAACTGTGCTAGTACCTGGTATATGTATATATATATCACTATTCTGTAAAGCGTCACTTGGTACACATAGATCTAATGTACATTTGTTCCGGCTAGGCTTCATTGTTTCTCATGTCAGGCCTAATTACTGCTGGTATGCAGAGGGTATAGGGACCACATAGGCAGCGTGGCCACCAGTGTTTATTGCTTTACGATATTCTAATACACAGATCAAGTTGACTGGGTACAAGTTGTTAGCCTCCTGTCCATACCTGAACTTGAATTTTCCGATTATAACATTTTATGTCTATTTACCTTGTAACTGATTTAAGTGTGAGTAAACAAAAACAGAACAGGTAAGATAAGGTAGCGATGACTGAATGACTGATCGCAGTAGCTGGTTTTAGCCCCCCTGAGTATCTTATGAAGCGGGCCAAGCTGTTCCACTTACGAGATATTGGTTGTGGAAGCGGCAAATGTTTTGAGGAAACCACACAACAGTGGTTAAATCCCTCTGTGCATACTGATATAGAGATGATTCACCATATTTCAAACTTCAATACCCATGAATGAAGAAGATAGTTTCTTTTTTATTTTATGAGTCACGTTTTTAACATGTAAATAG